GAGGGGTGAGGCCAAAGATGGTTCAGCGCTTGAGGAGGCCACAACCCTGCCCTGGCCGCCCCTCAGCCCCTGAGAGATTATTTCCACAAGTGAATGCACTAGAGTACTTTGGTTCTTTGGCTGAAGAGCAGGACACACAATTCCTGAAGCGTGATGAGACATCACTTGTTTAACTTGGTCCTGACTCACATTCTGCATCATAAGCACCCAGAGGTTCATTTTTTCCATGAATGTTCACCTCAATGATGTACGAGGTAGTTCGAGGGGAGGAGGTAGGTCCGTTATTCCCTAAGGATTGCCCCTCAGTGCTGACAGTATCCCTGAAGGCAGACAAGGCCACCCCAAAACACTAGAGTTGCCTCTCCTGGAGCAGGGTGTGCAGCCAGGCTGAATCTCAGCATGTACTTATTGGGGACAGTCGCTTTTACTTTTCCTGGTATTGGAGGCTGGCCTGCATGGGGTCCAAACCCTTCACCGTGGTGTTATAACACCATGCTCCGGCCAACTCAGCTCACAGGCCAGCCCCAAGAGGGTCACCTTTAAGGTTCAAGCTCATCGACCAACTGGACAAAACAGGGCAAACAGCACGGAGGTAGAGGAAGGAAAACTGTCCACCATGCATTCCAAAGGTGGGCCCCTGTTTGTCCCTCCTCTCTATCCTAGAGCACTCCCTCACCTCCGGGATCAGACCAAGAGGACTTTGTAAGCAAGTCCCAGCATTAGGCTGTGGAAGGATTGAAATCGACTATGTTTGCTCAGCCAACTGCGAGTACAACCCCCTGTGTAGCCTGAATAAGCAGTGCTTTTCCTCCCAATTACTAGTCTCAGTCTTTATGTATTAATTTTGAACAGTACATAAGCATATGGTATTTTTACACTTATGGATGGAGCCCTGGGTTTAAAAGTTTGGACAATCCCACCCTAGAACATATTCTCTAAGACATTCCAAGGATGAGAAATCACATGCGTGGAAGACCAAAGCAAATGCTGGGTGTGCCTGGAAGCTCTTAGAGTTCAAGGTGCAAAATTCTGATGGCTAGAGAGGGTCAAAGGATGGACTGAGAGGCAAAGCTAGGGTAAGATCAGTTTAAATGCCTGGAAAACTCACAGGAAAGAGAAAGTGCATGATAGTCTCTGGACTCAAAATGTATAAACCTTACAGGAATAAACAGGGGCACTGAATCACTCAAGTCTCAGATCACTCAAGTTGATACCCTGTTCCAGCCAGCTGACTATCAACCCTGGAGCCTCAGTCACGGCCCCCCTGTCTCTAGTGGAAGCTGGGCCACCTCTAGGCAGAGGGACAAGAGCTGGAATATCAGGGAGGCAGCTCCTGGGTCCCAATGGTAAAAGAGCAGCCAGAGTTGCCAGCCACATGTACAGGCTCAGACAGGACGAGGTATCTGGAGGCACTGGCAATTTCTAGCATGCTCGCATAATCAGTGATATGTGAAGTAAAAAAGCTTTGGAGCACAGGAAAAGGTCACAGATTTAATTACTTATGGGCCCCCTGGGGCCGCATTTAAGGTCCACGTAAGAGATTAGTCCTTTGCTCCTAGNCCTGGTTTGCACGGTATAACTGATGGTGAGTGATAGATTAACAGGCAGCATTTTCCTTTCTATTTGGTTCATTACACAGTTGCACACCTTACAATCAAAAGGGTCTTAGATTTGATGAAATACACTAGTTTCCTGACACTAGATAATCTAAAGGCACCTCTTGGTGGAACTTTTTCTTTTCCTTCAGAATAGTGGGCAACCTCTACAGGACAGACAATTCTGAGGAAGGCCAAAACGTCAGGTTTTGATCAGGAACACCCAAGCAATTCTAAGTCTTCAGAATGGAAGTGCTTTCATACAGAATCAGAAGCTGACACAGCTTCTGGAAGGCAGAGGGCCAAGGTGAGCAAAGAAGTTTCTAGAAACCCAGGAGTACAAAGGTGGCAGGAGAGCTCCCCCAATGGTCTCGGTTGCTGGCACAAGTAAAGCGGGTGAATCTCAGGATACTATCAAGAGGCTGCTGAGAACCGTCACATCTGCCTTTTGCTGATGCTCAAAGGACGGTCCTGTGCAGCTACCAGAGGAAAACTGNTTCCAAGGATGTGAAGTCACATGCGTGGACGACCAAAGCAAGTGCTGGGTGTGCCTGGAAGGTCTTAGAGCTCAAGGTGCAAAATTCTGCTGGCTAGAGAGGGTCAAAGGATGGACTGAGAGGCAAAGCTAGGGGAAAGATCACTTTAAATACCTGGAAAACTCACAGGAAAGATAAGGTACATGATAGCCTCTGGACTCAGAATGTACAAACCTTACAGGAAAAAAGAGGGGCACTGAATCACTCAAGGCTCAGATCATTCAAGTTGACACCCCGTTCCAGCCAGCTGACTATCAACCCTGGAGCCTCAGTCTCTAGTGGAAGCTGGGCCACCTGTAGGCAGAGGGACAGAGCCAGAATATCAGGGAGGCAGGTCCTGGGTCCCAACGGTAAAAGAGCGGACGTGTTGCCAGTCAGATGTACAGACTCAGACAGGACGAGGTGCCAGCCACATGTACAGGCTCAGACAGGACGAGGTATCTGGAGGCACTGGCAATTTCTAGCATGCTCGCATAATCAGTGATATGTGAAGTAACAAAGCTTTGGAGCACAGGAAAAGGTCACAGATTTAATTGCTTATGGGCCCCCTGGGGCCGCATTTAAGGTCCACGTAAGAGATTAGTCCTTTGTTCCTAGGCATCTGTTTACCGGTAGTATCAGGGCAGCTTTTAAAACTCTAGTATTTGATGTAAAAAGCCACAAACCTACTAAAGTGGCTTTTTAAAAATTTTAAGTAGTTCATGCATCACTGTAATACAGGGAAGGTAAGTAAACTCAATTCTGAGGCTCTGACATCAATCGTTGCAGTTATTTAACTTTATTATATTTTAAAATCAGAAAACAGGAAAACGGTATTTATACAAACCCCTGAGGACTGTTCAGTTGGACACAGCACCTTCCTACAAACAATGTGAAACTAGACTAAGTTTAAGTAAGAATCTCGACTTCTAACATATAAGGAATAACACAGGTGAAGCCATCCTTTCAAGAGCTGCATTCATGTCTAAGGCACATTTGGCTTTCTAAAAAGAAAATGAACATTCTTGCCCCAGGTGAACAATTTACTGGCATTTACAACAAATGGATAATACTTTTATAACTGATTCTTATGACTTAGAAATACCACAGCAACGTTACATAAAGTAATAACAATGAACATATAGCAACGTTTCCCCTTGAAAGTTCTAAGTTATAAAATAAAGCCCCAAACAGTAAGTCAGAACTAACGTATCATTCCAAATGGAGCAGAATACATGGCTCAGAACCAAGCAAGTTAATTAGAACGTTGTATAGGACAGGGAATTCCCTGTATGGACACCAATCTACAGATCGTTTCTAATCCCCTGAAGAGTAAGCTGAGAGGTAC